TGCTTGTCTGCAGCTTGAGGTACAGTTTTCCCCGAACTCCTGCACCTATCTCTTTGAAACTTGGCAGGCTTTGTGGCCTCAGCAGGGGCTAGCATGCCTGCAGTTTTGACACCACTGTGGCTTAACACGTACACGTGATATGAGTTTTACTTTTAAGATCTGAGGTGCAGTTTCCCCCAAACCCCTGTACCTATCTCCCTGAAACTTGGTAGGTTTCATGCCCTCATAAGGGGCTACCATTTCTGCAATTTTTATCCAAATAAGGCTAGAAATGACATCGTTATAGGCTATTTCAAGCTTCCCTGTTATAGCCTATGGGGAAATGTTGAAACAGCGTTGAAACAGCAAAACGGTTTTGATGAAATGAAACGGAAGTGGTTTTGAATCGAAATGAAATTTGAAATGAAATGCTGTTCTGTTGAAACGTTGAAACGGAACGGTGCTGTTTCGCACAGCCCTACTGCATACCCCCTCTCTGCCTTCTCCATCATAAATATTCAGAGGTACATGCAGAACATACCCTTCAGCCTGTCGATGTAACAGTACACGTCATACATCTCTGATGCTGGGCGCATGCCGTATGTCCGAACACCTGGGGAGCTGTCCTTGTCGCCTACACATCTGCTCCGTGGAGTCACAATGGGATATCTTTCAAAGGGAAAAGAAAGAGAGCTGCTCAGTGAGGATCCTGAATATCTCAGGATTCAAGGAGCATGCTCAAGGAAAAGGGAAGTAAATTCCCCACTAATTAATAACAGCAGCAGCAGGGACCTTTAGCATTTAGAGGTGCCAAAAGTCTTGAGTATAGTTTGGAAACATGGTGAGCACTCCACAAAAGAGGGAAATGCAACACATATGCCTGATGAAGGGTGTTTGTTCCTGAAAACTTGCAATTAAAGAATTTTTTTTGCAAAAACCTTGTTGGTCTAATAGAAGATATCACATCTACTATGAGTCCTGACACATATGGGGATGCATTCACAGTTCAAGAGCACATTATACTGCAGACTGAATTGTGTTTTCCTCTGTTTCAGGTAGCTGGATCCTGTTGTAAATGGAGCTAAAGGGCTCATTTGAGAGAACCCCTTCCCCAACCCAGAAGGCTCAGTCTCATTGCTGAATATTTTTTCAAGGGTATCTTCACTTGACATGACCTGATCTTACCTGACTGTCTGGTCCCGCAGCCAGCCAGCATCACATTGATCAAAGCCAGCCTCATAGGCTGCCTGCAGCTGTTCTGGAGTAGCAATGACAGCATTGTTATCCAGGCAGGCCTGTTGGGCTTGGATGAAATTGAGGGAATATCTGTTGGTGGCTGGTCGGTAATGAAATACAACACCTGGTGGGGAAAGCAAGATAGCAGTGAGACATGGACTCGGAGACCCTCTCCCACCCCAGATGCACATGCTGGAAGAACCTTCAAAACCAGCCTGGTAGGAGCAATGTCTGCTGAAACTATTAGATTGAAACACTATTTACTGGAATATGCTTTTAGTAAAGATGGGGATATCCCAGGGGTCTCCTGTTCTTCCTACAAAGCAGACAATTCAGTGGCTGAGGAGGGTTGCACACAGGATTTTGGAGCATGACAATGTGGTCTGAGCACCAAATGACTGGGGCTGTTCTATGGTAACGTGAGGTGCCCTTCAGTCTCCTCCTCACTACTCCTGTTTCATGCACAGAGGGGAGGACAGGGACACACAGTGCTATCTGGTGTTTGAGGCAAAGGAAAGGCTGGGCTGGGTATGCCCAGATCTGACCTCCTCCTTTCTAGGTGGGCAATACTCAGGTTTTGTCAGCTGAAGCAGCTGTGTGGCCAGCCTGCCAGGAAATGGATCTTGAGGTTTCTTGTTATCCCTGTGACTTACCAGTGGGAGAAATGGGCTGCTCAGGAATGAGTGCGATGTCAGGAGCGGCTGTCACCTGCACAATCTGTTCTTCCATTGTAAATGCTGAGGCAGACTCTAGTTCTGGGGGGGCAGTCACCCCCAAGGCCTCCTCCACCGAGCTCACCTCTGGTGCCTTGCTGGTGTAGAAAGTATCCAGTGCCCAGGTGGTGACCTCTTCAGGAATGGCCCACACTGGTGTGGCTTCCTCTTCAGTCACGTTCTCTGCCTCCGTGAAAGCTGTTTCAGCAGTGATGCCAGTGGCAAAAAGACCAGGTGTCACCGTGAAGCCTTCATACAGCTCTGAGGCAGTGGGTGTAATGTCAATTGGCCCCAGGGTTGCAATGCTGCCACGAGCTTCCTCCTCCGTGACATTGTGTGGGAGAGGTAGCTCTACTTCAGTTCGAGTGACAGTTTGGATGGTGAAGGCACTGCCCAATTCACCTGCTGTTTCATCGGTGAAATTCTCCGGGACCAAACCTTCAAAGTCCTCATCTATATCAAGAGACAATGTGTCCTTTATTGACCACTGTGAGGGACAGTCTACTAGAGTCAGGCTTAATGGAATACATTTGTTTCTGGATGCTGTCTCAAGAAAGGGGTCGGGAGTGCAGATGCTCTGACAGGAGATGGGTGATTGGATGGGTGTGGGGCTGTGGATCAAGGGGTGGGTGTAAGGGGAGAGGGAGAAGATGATGTGATAGCAGCAAGGGTACATGATGGAGTGGGTGTACAGATGTTATAAGGGGAGATGCTACTGTGATGAGAGATAGGCCATGTGAGCAGATGGCCTGTGGACCAACTGGCAGCTCTTCCATCTTGAAAACTGACTTGCACCTGGCACTGGCCTACCTGGCATTGGTTGGAATATACCTAGCAGCTGCACTTGTCTGGAGGGATAATCCTTGTTTTTTCAAAAGTAAAATACCAACCATTTCCCCACTGGGACCCTACAATCTCCCACAACCCAGAGCATTTTCACTGACGTAAAGGGTAAATCTCTGTTTCAGTTCCTTTGTGCTCTATAGCTCTCACATGGGTTAGGCTGGGGTAGACAACCCCCTGCATGCATGCCGGAGCGTGGCACTTGAAGGCGCTTTGCTTGATACGCATGCCTCAGGCCAACGGCAGGGAAGGGGCCAGGGCTGTGCTGCCACAACAAGGATCAGGCCTCTTGTGGCTCCCCCAGCATCTGCCCCAGGCATGCCAACATCTTACAACTCGAGATTGCTGGTGTTTTTGGCACTCGCCCCCAAAACCCTGCTAACCCTGCAATGGGCAGTCAGACCTCCCTTTCCATCCCCTTTGTGTACTCCTCCTAACCCTGAAACTCTGGGGTAGCCTGTGATTATTGTAGTCTGTAGTGACCTCTAGTGCCTGCAGCTGGGAATTTAAAATACAAAGCCCCAAACAGGAGGAAGAAAGCACGGACACTTCGGTAATGCTGCACAGAAAATGTGAGCCAGGGAGTGAAGGACAGAAAAAAACAATTAATACTACCATGAGACCTCTCACTCCTGGAGTCCCACTCAGGTCACTTCTCTCCTTGGTCCTTTCCTACATCTACATGCAGCCACTAGGTGAACAGGTCAAATGAAAGGACTCAAGTGTTTGCAGTATGACATGATGATGATGATGATGATGAGAATGGGGATGTGCTTGAGTCATGTTCCCCTCATTCCCTGCTTACACCCCAGAGCTAAAACTCCTGTTACCGGAGAGGTAAGGCCACACATCCAGGTCTACACTGAATGCCTGGAATAACTCATAGGAAAAACAGGGAAGGAAATGTCAAGTGTTCAAAATGAGGGATCCAGACACCAAACAGAGAACCCCCAGCAGTGCCTCTCTGAAGACATTTAGAGCGCCAGTGGACATCCCACAGAAGGACTCTGTCCAGAGACGTGAGATAACTAAGGTTAGGGTATAGATTCCCCAATCACAGAGTACCCCCTGTTGAGCTTCCTTTTCCTGGTTACATAAGTGGTTTCTTTGGCCAAGACCAGGGGGCAGTTGTTGAGGAGGTCCTGAGACTTCATGATGAAGATTCATACCCACAAGCAGTTAATTCAGCTTGTGGTTTAGGACCACTTTTGATTCCTCACTTAGGCAAAGCTCTCACATATCAACACCTGTGAGTAAGGATTTCAACCATCTTATTTCTATCCCATCCTGGCAGATGGTGACTTGGCCTCTCTTATTCACACCTTTGTCACCTCTTATCTGCTCTGCACATAGCCAGGAAGCCGTCAGCACTTAGAAGAAGCCAGAAAATACAGAACAAGCCTCCTCTGCAACACAGGCCATTTTAATCACCTTAGTGTACTCTTCTTCCTACACTGGCTTTCCATAGAAATTTAAATGATCTTAAAGTCTTGGGCCTTATCTTTAAGGTCCTTCATGTCCTGGTCCTAAGATGTATAAAAGATCTAAATCTTTGGTGCTGGGGAATTACTGTATGCTTCTCTGGCACAACGGAGCTCTCTATGCAGAACTAAAGCTTTTCTGTATTAGAGCAGAATTTCTAGGGGATCCATCTAAGTCTCTGAAGTAAATATCCCTTGGAAATAAGATCACCATAACCCACACACTTTCTGCTTCATTTGTAAGGCCTTGATCTTGCCTTGTCCAAAATAAATATCAACCTGTATTAAAAAAAAATCCATATGAAACAACACCCCTCTGCACATGCTTCTCTCTGTGGGAGAATATTAGTTACCTTGCTTAAAGCACAAGAAGGAGATGTTCAGATTTTTATTTAATTCATTGTTTTTCATAGATGAGACTATGGAATAGTCTTCCAAAGGAAACTAGAGAAGTCTCATCAGTTAAAATTGTAATGGACAAAACACCGGAGAACAGACTTTGCTAAGCAATCACATACTGGATGCATGGGACATAATGGGGGGGTTTATATTTCTAATTCACAGGTCTGTGATAATTCAGCTCTGGCTGGGAAGCACTGCCTCTGGCTCTTGGCATTTGCTGCTTACTAACACCAATGGATGCACTGTACTCAAGTCAGCGCACTCAGGGCACTCACCTGTGTAGCAGATGGCATCATAGCGAGTATGGGGGTGAGGGTACCCAGTCTGATTGACATACAGGTATACTGTCCGCACCCCCACCAGGTTCCCACCGCAGTTTGGACGTGCCTTGGAGATGGGGTACCTAACACTTTGGTCTGCCAGCCAGCCTGCACTGCACACATCCATGCCACCCTTCCAGGCCAGGTACAGCTCTCCTGTGGTGGCCAAACGGGCTCCAAGACTGTGGCATTTCTCTGCAGCTTCCTGGAAAGTAAACTTCTCTGAGGAAGTGGCATAGAAGACTTGACCTGCATTAATAACAATTCATGAAGTCAATGATTTGCTTTGAGGCTTAATTCTTCTATCACCCAATTCTCCCAACCCTTGTCTTTTGTTCTTGGAAGCTGGTCGTTGGGAGGAAAGATCAAAAGACCTGCCTATGTACGGCTTGCATAAGTGACAACTCTGGGGGTGACATACCTATCTACAAATGGCAAAAAGGTGGGGATGAATATTCAAAGGTGAAACAAGGGGACATACGTTATGGGAGGACAGTATGACACGGATCATTTTAGGTTTGATTTTCAGAATGCACTTCACCCCCATGGACCTCACTTGTAGGTGTGAGTGATCAGTACCTCTTCAAGTCAGGGCCACAATTAAGTCCGAGCAGTAAGACAGTGGGATAGCCTCCTAAAGTAGTCATGGGAGCCCCATTAACTTAGTTATTTAAAACCAGAGAGGATAGTGACTTGTCTTTGGGGAAAATCCAGTGTCAGCAGGGGCTCTTCCAGCCCCAATTTATCTCATTTCCAGCCCTTTTGGCTCTATTATTATCTGTCATAAGGATATGCAAGGTCTAGCCATCCTGTCCCTTTGTGGAATTATTAAGAGAAACCAAAGACCACCTTTCATTTCTTCTGCATAACAATAGACGTCATATGTTTCGTCAGTCTCCCGAACACCGTAGGTTCTCACGCCAGGAAACTCATCTTTGTCACCATAGCAACGCTCCCGAGGGAAATGGATAGGGTACCTGAGAGAGAAAGAGTGCACGGGAGATGCCCAGTGAGTAAATAGACATCACGGGGGGGTGGGATTTGGGGGGTGGAAGGCCATTGGGATGAGCTGAAACAGGTGGCAGAGAATCAGAACTAGACTCTAAAGATCTCTGTATGTGGGGTGTGTAGCACAGGCAGAGCAAAACCTGCCAGTTTTTCCTGGACAAGGGAAGAGGGAGAAGGAGGCCTAGTCTTTCCCGTACCTGAGCATGATAAGGTGACGGGGGAGGATCATCCAGCCATTCACCAAAGACACTAGTGCAGAGAGAGAAGCTAGTTTTCAGGCTTCCCTGGTGCCCTACTTGACGTGTTCAAGATGTAGCCATATCTGCTGAGCTTGGCACAGGAAGCAGTTTGCATGGACTGTAACCAAATCACCATTCTCAGCCTGGGAGGCATTCAGTCCTTAGGTCTTAAGCAATGATTGCCAAGCAAACCAGCAATGGAAGTAGTTTCCTGATGGGGATACTTAACCTCTGGGAAATGGATTGAGATCCACCAGCTCATGTCACACCAGGTGAATGGAGGATTATAAGCTTCTCTGGTTATAATTAACCAGGGACTGGGTTTAAACCAGTGACCTAGCTGTGGCAGTCCTTCTGGCTGAATATCCCTTTCCTTCCCCTTTCAGTGCTCTCCTTTGCCATCTTCAGCTAATTACCTGACAGTCTGATCAGCCAGCCAGCCGGCATCACACTGTTCAAACCCATCTTCATAGGCAGCCTGCAGCTGTTCCGGGGTTGCGATGACAGCACTATTCTGAAGACAGGCCTGCTTTGCCTTCTCAAAGTTCAAGGTGTACCTGGTGGAGATGGCTCTGTAATGGAACACGACTCCTGGAAAACACATTGGCCGGCACACACACACATGTGCACAGATCAGTCACTGAATGATCCACCCTTCCCCATCTTCCCTTTCAAAGGATTTAGCAAGCCAGCAAAGAGGCATTACATTTCATGTGGAACATAATGCATTGGCCATGCATCATTGTATTGCACAGGTGGCCCACTATTCCCTAAACATATTCCATTTTTCCTCACTTAGCATACCAGCACCCGTCAACCACTAGATATCTGGTGTGCTGGACATTGCACAAATATACAGGAAGGCCTGGAGCCTTCATATGTACTGCTATCATATTTAAGTCCTTTTTTCCCATAGATAGTGACCATTAAAAAAATTGGCTGTATGCATGCTCAGCCTGGCATAGGAAGGATTAGAATCAGAAAGACCAGGTCTGGAAGGGACTTCAGGATGGCAGTGAGTCAAACCCCCTGATCAAATCAGGGTCATCCCTGTCTAAACCACTCCAGGCAAGTGTTTGCCTAACCTGCAGAAAAGGATATAAAGGTTATCGTGGACTACTAGCTGAGTATGAGGCAACATACAGCTATCTGTATGTTTTTGGAAAAGAATTTATATGTTCTTTCAGAAAAGACCAATTGTCTCTACTTAGTACCATACCTCCTAGCAAGGTAGGTGAGACTAAAGGTCCTTACACTCTTGTTTCTTGCTGTACCTGTTCAGACCAGTATCTCATTTTGTCCAGCATTGATCCTGTCAGCTGCCCAGAGTAGTGGTCCAGCTAGTTCTGCCACACAGAATTACTTCATTCATCTATTTAGCCTGGTATTCCAGTTCCTGTCCACTTTAGGATAAACCACTAGTCCAGCCTGTTTCACTCCTGCTGAGCTGCTTGATGATGACTCATGCTGATCCTGATATAATTAAGACATAAGGACTTCCCAAAAGAGTCACACCTTTTGCAAACATATTGCGCCCTTCTCCTTTCTGCCTAATTAAATTAGCCTGTCAGCTCTATTTCCCAAATGCAGTATTGGAGCAGGGTCTCACCTTTCACTATGACCTCAATTGTGTCCTGTCTGTCCTCGATACCATGCATCACTCCACAGCGATAAATCCCACTGTCATTGGACCTTAATGCCTTGATTTCCAAGCTGGCATCAGTGGGGATGGCAGGATAATTGGGCATAGATATCATCTCCTTGTACTCAGTGTTGATTCGAACTTTCCCATCTGTGGCCACTAGCAAGACTACTTCCTTCCCGTCAGAGAGTCTGCTCCATTTGATTCTTGGGGTCAGAGGAGAGATGGTATCATAATCTATTGGGTCGCTGAAGTAGCAGGGGATAATCAGAGAGTTTCCCAGCACAACTTTCAGAGGAGACTGTTCAGGTATCTTCACTTCCAGTCCATCACCATTGTCTGCCAGCCCAAAGATTGTGAGAAGAAAATGGAAGATGAATTAATCATACCCATCAGCCATAACCACCAACACTTACAAAGTAGCCTCTATGTTATGAACTGCTCCCACAATTTTCCAGTATATGACTGTATAATCTAAGTCACTGTTTTGGAGTGACAGGCTGCAATAAGGTCATGTGATCTGAGGTAGACTGGCACTTCTGATGTAGCCCCCTTGTCACCACTTTCCCCTTCCCATGCAGCCCAAACCCCAAAGCCCCCTGCTACTGAAATACCACTGAATTGCCCTTCCATCAAAATAGCACCGATATCTGGGTTCGCGGACTGGATGAAATCACTTGGAAGACTGAATCCAGGCCTTAGGCGGTGGGTTGTCAACTCTTAGTCTGTGAAATAAAGCTTGAAGACTACAGTGGCCCTCAAGACTTGGTAGCTCTCAAAGGATTTTAGTTAGGGGTGTGCAAAACTTTGGCCTGTGATTTGATTTGGAGAAGATTCAGCCCGATTCAGAGGCCGAATCACCAAATCTGAATAGAATCAGGAGAAGGAAAAAAGACCACCAAATCGATTTGGAGCCTCTAAATTGATTTGGAAGAGATTCAGAAAAGATTTGGAGATTCGGAAGGCAGTCTTTCAGGGGAACTGAAACTGAGAAGGGGGAGAGCAGGGGGGGAAAGACTGACATCTGTAGCTGGCCAGTTACTGTGATCTTTCCCTAAGTCCCCTTCCAATCACAGTGCTCTTGGGGGGGGATGTAGAAACAGCACATAAATCTTTGTCTGCAGGCTTTCTGTGCCTTGTGTGAGCTGTTCCTGCCTGAGCAACAGCATCTGAAAGGTACTGGACTAGCTTTGCTTCCTACCTAGTCAGTTTTCTGCTACTTTCTGTTCTTGGAAAGGATTGGATATAGCTTACTAACTAGAATTCCTTTATTTATCCCTACCCAATCCATTTCTTTCAATTTATATTTGTTTTTGTTCCCCCCCCCACACTTCTTAAAAAGAAAGCTGTGTTTTCCCTGTCAGTGAAACCCCTGCACTATCTTCTTGAAACTGGTAGGCCTCATGCCCTCAGAAGGGGCTACCATGCCTGCTGTTTTCATCCAAACCTGCCTTAACACACACAACACCAGTTTAGCTTTCAGCCATTTGAGGTACAGTTTCCCAGAAACTCCTAAACCTATCTCCTTTAAACTTGGCACACATCATGCCCTCAGGAGGGGCTACCATCCCTGCAATTTTTATCCAAATTGGCCAAAGAATGACAAAGTGATAGGTATTTCAGTGATTCCCCATTATAGTCTATGGCTGAATCTCCAAATTTCTCCGAATCAGCCCCGAATCTTCTGAAAATGAATTGATTTGGGATGGTGATCCGAATCTGCAAATAGAATCACTATCCTATGCATTGGCTGAAACTGAATCCCAATCAAATATTCCTTATTTGCACAGGCCTAATTTTAGTACACTATCCAACTGATGTTGTATTGAGGATTTAGGCACTTGAGCTGTAGCTATCTTTTACTCTCCTGAGTGCAGTGGCAGCAACATGGTGAGGAAGTGCAGTGGCCAAAGAGAATGCCACTGTCACTTATGGGGGAAATGAATAAACTCATAGGTAAGCTTGTTAAACAAAAGGTGTTGTTTTTTGTGAGGGACAAAGTTTGCAACATGCTGGCTTGCTAGATACCACATGCAGCACCGAGCAGTGGTCTCACTCCCTGTACATACCTGAAAGCTCCACAGAGAAGGCTGCAGTGATGACTCGCAAATACACAAACACTAATAGCAAAGTGGTCATAGTTTACCTGCAAGAAACAACACATAGAGACAGGATTTATTACTGTGAGGTGATCATAACAGAATGGGACCCTTCAGAAGGAACAAATGTCATAGCTTAGGGCAGCTAGGAGCATCCAGCATACTTTTTTTACACTTTTACCCTGAAACTAGAGTGAGAGAGTATTTATTGGACAAGATGTTGCCCTGAAAAGAGCTGGAGATGCCCATCTTATTCCAATAACTCAGCCACTTAAAATAGGAACCCTGGTTATATACATTACTATTACTATACTGGCTTCACATGCTCTCTTTCTCTTGTGATCTGATTATTGCAGCTGGGTTGAAAAACAATTTGATCATCGAGCTTTATAGGTGTTGTATATCTACCCCAGAAATGCACATTGTGTCCATCAAACCCTACGTTTCAGCCCAGAAAACCAAGAATGAAAGCACCACACCACCAGTATCTTCCATCTAACAAGCCAGCTTGAAAACATTGGCCAGTGCCTTGGATGGACTTGGTACAACTTAGGTTATTCTGGAGGATGTCTGTCCCTTTTCAAAGGTTGCAACATAACTGCTTATATCACATTTACATATTTACTAGTCCTGTGTGAGTAGGCAGCTATTCGATTCAGCTTTGGATCTGGCTGCTTCAGATGCCAATGATCCAATCCAGAGCTCTGGACCAGGTTCCCGCTTCGATCCGGCCGAAGTGGCTTCGAAGCTTCAGAGCTGCCTCGGAGCTCTGGCCATAGGGTATAATGGGGAATCAATGAAATAGCTATAACTTTGTTGCTTTTTGTCTGATATGGATGAAACTTGCAGAACTGGTAGTTTCTGCTGAGTGCATGAAGTCTGCCAAGTTTCAAGAATATCGGTGCACGGGTTTGGGAGGGACTGTACCCCAAATTCTTGAAAGCAAAACTCATGTCACATGTATATGTTAAGCCACGGGGGTGAAAACTGCTGGGGTGGTAATTCCTGCTGAGGCCACAAAGCCTGCCAAGTTTCAAGAAGATCGGCACAGGGGTTTGGGGGAAACTTCACCTCAAGCTGCTGACAGGCAAAATCCGTGACATAGATGACCCTGTGTGTGTTAAGGTGCAGCAGGATGAAAACTGCAGGGGTGGTGGCCCCTGATCAGGCCACAAAGCCTGCCAAGTTTCAAGGAGAAAAGTGCAGGGGTTTGGGGGGAACTGCATCTCAAGCTTCAGACAAGCAAAATTCATGACATGGGTGACACTGTGTGTGTTAAGTTGCAGCAGGATGAGAGCTGCAGGGATGGTAGCCCCTGCTGTGGCCATGAAGCCTGCCAGCCATCAAGGAGATTGGTGCAGTGGGGTTCTGGGGCCCTGCACCCCTCGCTGCTCAAAGGAAAAACTCATGATATGGGTGCTTGGGCAACTGACTGTCTCTGTTTTGGGGCAGTTGACTGTCTGTAGTGATTATTTCCTCTCCTTAGTCTGTAGTTTTGTAGGTTGTCTTGTGAATAATTTCCTCTCCTTAGTTGGTGGTTTTGTAGGTGAACACCTACAAAACAACAGACTAAAGAGAGGAAATAATCAATATAGACAATCAACTTCCCCAAGACAGACACAGTCAGTTGCCCAAGCACCCATGTCACGAATTTTGCCTTTCAGCAGCTAGGGGTGCAGGACCCCAAAACCCCCCTGCACCTATCTCCTTGACAGCTGGCAGGCTTCATGGCTGCAGCAGGGGCTACCAGCCCTGCGCCTTAACGCACACAGTGTCACCCATGTCATAAGTTTTGCTTGTCTGAAGGTTGAGGTGCAGTTCCCCCCAAACCCCTGCACTGATCTTCTTGAAACTTGGCAGGCTTTGTGGCCTGATCAGAGGCCACCACCTCTTCAGTTTTCACCCCCCTGTGGTGTAACATGTACACATGACATGAGTTTTGCTTTCAAGAATTTGGGGTACAATTCCTCCAGAACCCCTACACTGATCTTCTTGAACCTTGGCAGGCTTCATGCTCTCAGTAGAAGCTACCATTTCTGCAAGTTTCATCCATATCAGACAAAAAGCAACAAAGTTATAGATATTTCATTGATTCCCATTATGCCCTATGGCTGGATCTCCAAGGCGGCTCCAAAGATTTTCCGAAGTAGTTCGGAAGCTCTGAACCACTTCAGAAAGCCTAAAGAAGCCAGTGCTTCAATCTGGACATGCTGCTTCGGACACCGAAGCGTCCGAAGCTTCTCCACATCCGAAGCATGGTCTGAACCCTTGCACAGCCCTAATATTTACCACTGTAAGTGGAAGCTCTACTGAAAAGACTACATTCTCTCTATATATATCCCAGAGGAATTCAAAACTTCAGACTAGTTCAAGGAAATGAAGCAAAGTCTTTTATCTAGGTTAAATAGAAGGAACAAGGGCAACATTGGACCCCTGCTAAACCAGACGGGGCAACTGCCAACTGACACCCAGGAAAAAGCGAATTTGCTAAATGGGTACTTTGCGTCAGTTTTTCATCAGCCCCATGGGACAGCCCTCTCCACTATGGGTCAGGGAGGCCCGGGCCAGGGAGATTCCTTGCCCTCCATTGAAGCTGACCTTGTGAAGCAGGTTAACCCTAGGGTCCTTCGGTCCCTTTTTCCCCACCCTGTCTCTGCCACTAACAGCAGAATCACATCCTGCACCCTCCCACTCAAATGAGCTTTCAAACCAATCACTAGTGAAGGCTGGATACCTTCAAGTCAGCCATCCCTGATCGGTTACACCCACGGGTACTCAGAGAGCTGGCAAGCATCATAGCTCAGCCCCTGGCATGGATTTTTGAGAGTTCTTGGCGCTCTGGTGAAGTGCCTTAAAATTGGAAGAGGACCAATGTCATGCCTATCTTCAAAAAAGGGAGGAAAGTAGATCCGTCAAACTACAGGCCCATAAGCCTGACCTCTATCCTGGGGAAGGTCTTGGAAAAGGTTATCAAGGAGACTAGCTGAAGGCAATATCCTGAGGGATACCCAGCATGGATTTGTTGTGGGTAGGTCTTTCTTGACCAGTCTCATTTCCTTTTATGACCAGGTGACTTATCACCTGGACAAGGGGGAAGAGATTGACGGTGTATACCTCAACTTCAGAAAAGCCTTTGATCTGGTATCTCACAATCACCTTTTGGCTAAACTGGCTAACTGCGGCCTTGATGTCACCACGATCTGCTAGCTGGGGAACTGGCTCCGCGGTAGGACCCAAAGTGTGGTGGTCGATGGGAGTCAATCGTCTTGGTGCGCTGTGACCAGTGGGGTCCCCCAAGGCTCTGTCCTAGAGCCTATACCGTTTAACATCTTCATCAATGATGTGGACATTGATGTCAGAGGCGGACTGGCCAAGTTCGTCGACGACACCAAACTCTGGGGTAAAGCATCCACACCTGAGGACAGGAGGGTGATCCAGGCAGATCTGGATGAGAACCTGATGGTGTTCAACACAGAAAAATGCAAGGTTCTCCACCTTGGAAGGAAAAACCTGCAGCATGCTTATAGGCTTGGTAGTGGTATGCTGGTTAGCACTACAGATGAAAGGGACTTGGGGGTCATAGTTGGCTACAAGATGAACATGACCCTGCAATGTGATGCTGTGGCCAGTAAAGTGAGGAAAACACTGGCTTGCATCCACAGATGCTTCTCAAGCAAATCCTGGGATGTCATTCTCCCCTTGTACTCAGCCTTGGTGAAGCCGCAGCTGGAGTACTGCTTCCAGTTTTGGGCTCCGCAATTCAAAAAGGATGTGGAGAAGCTTGAGAGGGTGCAGAGGAGAGCCATGCACATGATCAGAGGTCAGGAAAACAGACCTTACAATGACAGGCTGAGAGCCATGGGGCTCTTTAGCTTGGAAAAGCGCAGGCTCAGGGGTGATCTGATGGCCACCTATAAGTTTATCAGGGGTGACCACCAGGATCTGGGGGAACGACTATTCACCAGAGCCCCCCAAAGGATGACAAGATTGAATGGTCACAAACTCCACCGTGACCAATTCAGGCTGGACATAAGAAAGAACTTCTTCACTGTCTGAGCCCCCAAGGTTTGGAACAGACTGCCACCTGAGGCGGTTCAAGCACCCACTTTGAATGCCTTCAAAACACATATGGATGCTTATCTTGCTGGGATCCTATGATCCCTGCTGACTTCCTGCCCCTGGGGCAGGGGCCTGGACTCGATGATCCTCCGGGTTCTCTTCCAGCCCTAATGTCTATGAAATCTATGAAACAAATTATGGAAAGAGAATGGAACAGCTCAGAAACGAATGTGGGCAAGGCAACCAAGGTGGTCTTGTGAATAATGCCATTAGGTTTTAAATAACCACAAGTGGTCAGGACAATTTAAGATTCATTCAAAAGACAGATCCTCTATCAACACAGCATTCATCAACACCAGAGACTGCAGCATTGATTCAGTAGTGACTCATAAGGAAGAACCCCGCCTACTGAATCACTTAGGTTTTCCTTGGAGGTCCCTTATCCAAATAACAGCTGTTTGTCCCCCCAGCTCTAGAGATACCTCAGCTGGTCTTGGTATGGCTGAAGTCAACAGAAAGCATTATGAAGGCCAGCGTACACAGCTATTGGCTTGGTAGTGAAGTCCATTAAATATCCTACTTGAAAGCATAGTAGAGAAGACCATAGCTTTGGAAAGCTCTTCCAAAGTCAGGACGTTAGCTTTTCAGTTCTGCAGAACTGAGTTTAAATCCTACTTGATCCATATTAGAAACTGTGTTTGTAAGTCTTAAACTGGTTGCTAGTGAACTGTTATTTATGGGAACTGAATGTTAAACAATTTGGCATTTTCTAGACTGAGGCTCAGAGCTGCATTAGGAATGGATACTGCAGGTCAAGACTGGGATGCATTGGCAGAGAAACCTGTGCATTCAAGTTTGTAATCATAAAGTTGCTACAGGGAAGCTATGTGTGTTTTGTCCAGGTTTAAAACAGTAGGGAGCCTTGAGAACAGTCAGCAGAAGTGTGTATGTGGCTGGGACTGGAACAACAGTGGGTGCTGCAGGTGAG